CCCAGCCAGGCCGAGTCATAGGAAAAGCGGCATCTATCAAGGGAGGGAGCTGAGTAGGGCGTCCATCAGGTCCGGGAACATTCTTCCGTGCTTCCAAGATGATTTGTTCCCGTTCCTCTGTGGTGAAAAGGGTCTGGAGCAACTGCTGACAGTCATCCCAAGTGGGCTGGTGGGAAAACATTAGAGACTCGACCAGCCCAGCCAGACGCTGGGGGTCTTCAGAGAAAGGCGGGTGGTTGGTTTTCCAATTGTAGAGGTCTGCTGTGGAAAAGGGCCAATATTGGAGGGGCTGAAGGGGGGCTGCGTCGTCACCCTCCCCGGAACTATGGTTGGGAATCGGCACAGGACGTAGGGGACAAGCCACAGTGGAATCTGGAGACGGAGGAAAACCCCTCCTGCTCCTGGTGCCTTGAGCTGGTCCCCCAGCCAAGGGGGCCGAGGGTTGGGCGCGCCCTGATTGTGAAGGGGCGACCTGTGGAAGAGGGGGGTAAAATGGGGGAGAATCAAGGAGGAGGGAATCAGCCTGTGGGTCAGTCAATGGCCGAGACTGCCGGACTGGATCCGACGTCGTCTGGGCCACCAGGGCCAGTGGGGAAACCCGCAGTCTTGCCCCAAGGGGGGGGGTTCTGGGCGAGATCTTGCCACACAACGATGTAGGGGCCCTGATTCGGGTGTCCTTGGGGGTGCGGCGCAAAGATTCTTTTCTTCACTGCAAAAATAACAGAGAGGTTAAAAGTTCCATCTGAGGGCCACCCCACACCGAAGGAGGGCCACTCAGAGGCACAAAACGTCTGCCAGGGGCCCTTCCGGATGATGACGGACAGGTCGTGGGCCCGGTCTCGTACTTCCTTCCAATGTGTCAGGGTGAGGGAGAGAGGAGTACTCTTCCCTTGGCCCATAATTCCTGGATGAGTAAAAAGGAGAATAAAGGAGAAAAGAGTGACAACACAGACAGCAGACAAACACCGAAGCCACTTGCTTCTGCACACAAACACTGACAAAGGACGATATCCTACCCTAGGGTTATCTTGCCCAATCCTGCAACGACTTGCAGGCAAACAAATGGAGTCGACCAAGGCCACCTGGTCACCCCTAATCCCTGGAGCGTCCTCCAGGGCGACAGTTTTTCTGGCCAAGAACCCTATCTTGGTCCAGAGGAACTTCCTCCTTACGGAGTTAGTACCCTGTCGTTCCAAATTCAAACTTCAAAACTGACACATCACATACAACACAGAGACAAACATAAAGGATGACTCCGGAGTCTGCCTACCTCCAAGCCTGGTGCCGCCGGTCTTTTAAGAGGGGTCGCCTCTCCGATCCCGGACGAGCCCCCAAAATGTTGGGCCGCAGAAATGTACAGCCCGTGTGGGGGAGAGACGACCGCCTAAAAAAGACTCAGAGTCCAGAGACTTGATGCAAAAGCATGAGGTTTTATTTCCAGCGCAGCGCAGGGGCAAGCAGCACTACCTAGCTAGCGAAGCTGCCACGCCGACCTTTTTTTTTCCTTAGGATTTTATAGGCAGAAACCACACGCAGGTGGCTAGGGATCACAGGGTGGGGGGAAATTCCATGGGCTTTAACCTTGCACAAACATGTACCAGATGGGCTAATATCGGGAACTTCTAATCTTGGTCAATAGTTTCCAAGGACTAAACGGCAAGCGGTTTTCGGGGAGTTACAGAGTGGCGCCGGCGCGAGCGGGGGAGGGAATAGGGTTGCGCGAGCGGAGGGGCACCAGCGGGGGAAGGGAGTAGGGTTGAGCGAGCGGATTTTACAGAAGCAGAACGGCGGGTTAGATTTTTCTCCACAATAGTAGATTTCGGCAAGTTTATATTGGTGAAGAAAAACGACTTCCTCAACCCGTAATCACGGCCGGCTTTTGGTGCAACCTTCCCTCAGCTTTCTTCTTTAGAACGTTTGTGTAAAGAGAGGGAGACGAGGAGGTTTTCCTGTTTGGAAAAAATCTATCCTCTTCTTCCTGCCCTAATCAAGAAACACAAAACTCAATATAAGAAATGTAAAAGATATAAGCAGTTAATTCATTTTTTCTGCTTTACCATTTTGTCATGGTTTCTTTGAGCATTGCTCATTCTGCTTCTTTGTGGATGTTCTCTCTCTCTCTCTCTCTCTATATATATATATGTATACACACATAACCGGGCTATTCGATTTTTGGTGAAGAAAATTGAGTTCCTCAACCCGTCAACAAGGCAGGTTTTTCAAGCATCTTCCCTCAGATTTCTTCTTTTGAAGGTTTGAATCAGGAGAGGCACACGGACTGACTGTTTTTCCTGTGTGTGAACAATGTATCTCCTTCTCGCTGTCCTAAGCAAGAAACAGACAACTGAATACAAGAAATCTAAAATATATAAGCAGTTGAGTCGTGTTTTACTGCTTTACCATTTTTTCGTGGTTTCTTCTGAGCATTCCTAACTTTGCCTCTTTGTGGCTGTTCTATATATACACACATAACCCGGCTAGTCGATTTTTGGTGAAGAAAAACGACTTCCTCAACCCGTCCACAAGGCAGCTTTCTCGTGCAACCTTCCCTCGGTTTTCTTCTCTTGAACATTTGAATGAAGACAGGCAGACTGACTGTTGTTCCTGAGTGTAAAGAATCTATCCTCTTCTTGCTGCCCTAAGCGAGAAACACACAAGTCAATACAAGAAATCTAAATGTTAAGCAGTTAAGTCCTGTTTTTTGCTTTACCGTTTTTTCAGGGTTTCTTCTGAGCCTTGCTCACTTCGCCTCCTTGTGGCTGTTCTATATATATATATATACATGAAAAGAAAACCCAGAAGTCGATTTTTCATGAAGAAAAACGACTTCCTCAACCCGTGCACAAGGCAGGTCTTTCGTGCAACCTTCCCTCAGCTTTCTTCTTTTGAACTTTCCAATCAAGAGAGACAGACTGACCTTATCTTCTTCCCTGTGAAAGGAATGTATCCCCTTACCGCTGTCATAAAGAAGAAACACAACAGTCAATACAAGAAATCTAAATGATTTAAGCAGTTAAGTCCTGTTTTTCTGCTTTACCATTTTTTCGTGGTTTCTTCTGAGCATTGCTCACTTTGTCTATATACACACATAGTAGATTTTGGTAAAATAGATTTCAGAAGTAGATTTCGGCAAGTAGATAATGGTGAAGAAAACGACTTCCTCAGTCCATAATCAGGCAGGCTCTTCGTGCAACCTTCCTCAGCTTTCTTCTTTTGAACCATTGTGTAAAGAGAGGCAGACTGACTGACGGTTTCATGTTTGTAAAGAATCTATCCTCTTCTTGCTGCCCCAAACGAGAAACACACAAGTCAATACAAGAAATCTAAACGATTTAAGCAGTTAAGTCCTGTTTTTTGCTTTACTGTTTTTTCAGGGTTTCTTCAGAGCCTTGCTCACTTCGCCTCCTTGTGGCTGTTCTATATATATATATATGAAAACAAAACCCAGAAGTCGATTTTTGATGAAGAAAAACGACTTCCTCAACCTGTCAACAAGGCAGGTTTTTCGTGCAACCTTCCCTCAGCTTTCTTCTTTTGAACTTTCCAATCAAGAGAGGCAGACTGACATTTTATCTTCTTCTGTGAAAGGAATGTATCTCCTTTGCACCGTCTTAAACAAGAAACACAAAATCAATACAAGAAATCTAAATGATTTAAGCAGTTAAGTCGTGGTTTTCTGCTTTACCATTTTTTCATGGTTTATTCGAGCATTGCTCACTTCCCCTTCCTTTGCTGATATATATATATATATATACAAACACACACACACAGCACGGCAAGTCGATTTTCCTGAAGAAAAACAACTTCCTCACCCTGTCAACAAGAAAGGCTTTTCGTGCAACCTTCCCTCAGCTTTCTTCTTTTGAACGTTTCTGTCAAGAGAGGCAGAGTGACTGATGGTTTTCCTGTTTGTAAAGAATCTATCCTCTTCTTCCTGCACTAAACAAGAAACACACATGTCAATACAAGAAATATAAAAGACATAAGCAATTAAGTCATGTTTTTCTGCTTTGCCATTGTTTTTGTGTGGTTTCTTCTGAGCATTGCTCACTTTGACTATTTGTGGGTGTTGTGTATATATACATATATATATGTGTGTGTGTATGTATGTATATACACACACACAAACACACACATAACCCGGCTAGTCGATTTTTGCTGAAGAAAAACGAGTTCCTCAACCCGTCAACAAGGCAGGTTTTTCGTGCAACCTTCCCTCAGTTTTCTTCTTTTGAACATTTAATCAAGAGAGGCAGACTAATTGACTGCGTTTCCTGTGTGTGAACAATGTATTTCCTTCTCCCTATCCTAAGCAAGAAACACACAAGTCAATAGAAGAAATCTAAAATATACAAGCAGTTAAGTCCTGTTTTTTGCTCTACCATGGTTTTTTTTTTTTTCTGGGTTTCTTCAGAGCCTTGCTCACTTCGCCTCCTTGTGGCTGTTCTATATATTTATATATGAAAACAAAACCCAGAAGTCAATTTTTGATGAAGAAAAACGACTTCCTCAACCCGTCAACAAGGCAGGTTTTTCGTGCAACCTTCCCTCAGCTTCCTTCTTTTGAACTTTCCAATCAAGAGAGGCAGACTGACCTTTTATCTTTTCCCTGTGAAAGGAATGTATCTCCTTACCGCTGTCATAAAGAAGAAACACAACAGTCAATACAAGAAATCTAAATGATTTAAGCAGTTAAGTCGTGTTTTTCTGCTTTACTATTTTTTCATGGTTTCTTCTGAGCATTGCTCACTTCCCCTTCTTTGGCTGTTCTGTATCTATCTATATCTATATATCTATACACACACACACACATAATAGGGCAAATCGGTTTTTGCTGAAGAAAAACGACTTCCTCAACCCTCAACAAAGCAGGCTTTTCCTGCAACCTTCCCGCTGCTTTTTTGTTTTGAACGTTTGTGTGAAGAGAGCCAGACTGACTGACATTTTTCCTGTTTGTAAGCATTTATCCTCTTCTTCCTGCCCTAAACAAGAAGCACACACGTCAATACAAGAAATCTAAAAGATATAAGAAGTTCAGTCGTGTTTTTCTGCTTTACCATTTTTTCGTGGTTTCTTCGAGCATTGCTAACTTTGCCTCTCTGTGGCTGTTCTATATATACACACATAACCCGGCAAGTCGATTTTGGTGAAGAAAAACGACTTCCTCAACCCGTACACAAGGCAGCTTTTTCGTGCAACCTTCCCTCAGCTTTCTTCTCTTGAACGTTTGAATCAAGAGAGGCAGACTGACTGTTTTTCTTCTTCTCTGTGAAAATAATGTATATCCTTCTTGCTGCCCTGAACAAGAAACACACAAGTCACCACAGGAAATCTAAAAGATTTAAGCAGTTAAATCATGTTTTTCTGCTTTAGTCTTTTTCACGGTTTCATCTGAGCATGGTGAGTTCACAGCTTTGTTGTTGTGTATATATATATATATATGAAAATAAAACTGCAATTGCATCTTTGGTGAGGAAAAACAAATTACTCAACACATCAACAATTCACTTTGCCCGTTTAACCTTGTCTTGGCTCTGTTGTTTTGAGCTTTCATCTCAGGAGAGGCAGACTGACATTATGTTTGTGTGTGTGTATGTTTGCACTTGAAAAAGACAGTATCTCCTTCTTGCTGCCCCAAACAAGAAACATGCAACAATTCAACACAGGAGATAGAAATGGTAAATACTGTTTTTCTACGTTTCCATTACTTTGGTGGTTTCCTCAGATGTTCAGCTGAATTCTGGACTTTGTTGCTTTTGTCAAATAACAACATATCTCGCTGTTTTTTGTGGGAAAGACGAAGCACTCAAAACACCAACGATGTGGGTGTCAACTTCACCAGTGCAATTCCAGGTGCTTCCACCTCACAGGAGCCGAATTCTGAACGATTTGAGACTTTCAGTCCAGCGTTCAGTGAGAGCGAAGCACTGAAGCTGCGAGGGGCTTGGAGACATGGGAGGAGCCTGCTGTCTGAGCCGGTAGGGTTTGATGCCTTGGTGGAAGCTAATTGGTGGAGCAGTGGATGATTGCAGAAGCTGATTGGTTGAGATGTTGATGACTTGAGAGAAGCTGATTGGCTGAGCTGGTGATGAATTGGCACAAGGTGATTGGCTGAGCTGGTGATGACTTGGCAAAAGCTGATTGGCTGAGCTCCAGAGAGCCTCAGGGTGTGTGGGTGGGGTCAGGGGACGGCACTCCTGAAACTTGTATAAAAGGATGCCTCTGCCTGTGTGAAGACCCTCCAGGCTACTGCAGCTAGACGGCGCGCTCAGCATGTTGTGCAAGGATTCCTTGATTTTGCTCTTGAAAGAGAAAGCCATGGAACTGATGATGGATGCTGTGGCTTCATGTGTCCTGTACTTGAGAAGCATGTATCTAGGAGAGGAATTCATGACATGTCCTGGAAACGGGCCGAACTCTTCCTTCAAGGAGATGTTTACATTTCTTTTGTTGAAGAAGATAGTTCTGTGGTGCCTGAAGAAAGGCTTGCCAGTTGTACATGACCTGATTTTTCGATCTTTGAGAAATGACATGCCTATTCTACGGGGCTCTAATGATGATGACGACATTATCGTACTGGTGGAAAAATAGACACAGACGTTTCTATTCTGGGATAGAATAGAGAACCCAGAAATACAGCCTCACATCTACAGCCAACTGATCTTGGACAAAGTCAGCAAAAACGTACTCTGGGCAAAAACATAGCCTTTTCAGCAAAGGACGCTGGGTACATTTGATTCCCACGTGCAGAAGAATCAAACCCGACTCCTGTTTGTGACCGTATAAAAAAATCAGGCCGGGCGTGGTGGCTCACGCCTGTCATCCTAGCACTTTGGGAAGCCAAGGTGGGAGGATGGCTTGAGGTATGGACACAGAGTGTGGAATGACGGACATTGGAGACTTGGAAGGGTGGGGAGCCTGGGGGGTGAAAGAAGAGAAATGACGTAATGGGTACAATGCATGTCATTCAGATGATGGATTCACCAAAAGCCTTGATGCCACCGATACCCAACATAGCCATGTGACAAACTACACCTGTACCTCATAAATCAATAAGCAACAAAAACTGTATGCATGTCATATACCTTTCCAAAGAAGATGTTTCAGAAACCAAAGATGTGATTGTGGTTTAAGGACTCATGGGAGATCAAGTGTGGTCAAATGACAATGGTGGTGGATGATGGGTGACGGTGATTTTTCTGGCATAATATCATCCAGTGGCTGGAAAATGTGTCCCATGCTCTTGCATTTCCTCCTGTTTGGCCCATTGTGACTGGCGTTCTGAGAAGGCTGACTAGTGTGTGAGCAAATAAACAGAATGATTACAAAATGCATCGTAGCCCTATGGTCTGGATCTGTGGTGGCTTCCATGTATTTCCTCTTGGCTTCAGCTTCTGAGACTGGGACCTAGAGGAGGGGAAAGGTCTCAGAGTGGGAAGAGCTCAAGCATGGGATGGAAGAGGTGTCCATGGGGGCCTAGGTGCTGAGGGGCTGCAGTCCACGAGGGGTTGACTCAAAGGGAGAGAGGCCTGCCAAAGGCTGAAATTCTGAACTCAGGAGCCCCCGGGGATGACAGAACCCCCTGCCTGAGAAGGGAAGCTGGACCTGGAAGCGATGCTCACCCTGGAGTTTGGAAGACAGCTTTCCTTACTTGAGGTGGAGGAAGCTATCCCAAACAGGAGCAGGGCATTCTGGCCCCTGGAGGACGCAGGTGGGGTAAAGAAGCCGGGAGGAAGTGGTGTTGGGTGGTGGGGATGAAACCCAAAGGGGAGGCCCAGAGAAAACCCAGTGATCACCAAGAGGGGAGGCAGCAGAGTGTGCCAGTGCATTCACAGTTCCCTCCTGGTGTGTGGGACTTACAGGCCTTTGGAGGATCATCTGGAGACGTGCAGCCTACAAAGCTGTGGTTCTGTAGCCTCACCAAGCAAAGTCCAACATGCGAATTCCAGCCTCCGATGGGATAAAGCAACACCTGGGTCACGTGGGAACCTAAACCCAGGGCAGCCCTCCAGATAAGCCCATGGGATCACGTGGCACGCTACCTGGTGGCCCCCAGAACACCCTCAACCCCTTTGCAGGTCGCAGCGGGAGCAGCGTGCCACGTGATTCTGATGGAGAAAAGACTTTCCAGCAGGACAAACACATCCATGTTCACGGAATGCACAGTTTGTGAGACCTGGCTGATTTCACTTCTAACCAGTCTTTGGAGGAAAAGGAGAAACTCCACAGGCTGCTGGGCCAGAAGCTTCCTGGCTCATAATGCTATCACAGCCCTTTGATGTGTGAAGCAGGAAAACTCTGTGTGGAAAGCTCTGTGCCCTCAGAGGTACCCCTACCTGGAGTCCACTTGAATTATCTAGGACCTGGGCTCCCATTCCTCTCCCTGCTTCATGGTATCTCTGAACTGGATTCTCCATACTCCAACATCCACCCGGCATTCCTTCCTCACCCCAGCCCCCACACCCCAGCCTTCTCATGTCCCCGCCTCTCCTTCCTGCCTGCTGACAACCAATCAGACACTCTCTGGGCCCACATCTCACTAATTGGCTCCCGGCCCTGGTGACACCCCCAGCATTGCGACCTTGTCCTCTAGGTTCTAAGAGCCCCTGGGAGCTGTGGGTGACATGTGACTCTCTCTGTCTGCAGCCTAGCCCTGCACTGCTGCCACTGCCAAGGACAGGCCAGGTGAATGGGCAGCTGCCCACGTCTCACCCTGGTTGGAGCTGGTCACTGGAAGAGCCTGGCACTCACTCTGCAAACAGCCCTGCCTCCACCCTCCTTGTCACTCACCCTCCTTTGCCACTCTGTTTCCAGGCTGCTGTCATGGAAGCATGTCTGCTCAGAAACCAGCAAGATAAAATGGAGGTCCCATCTTGAATGGCCTCACAACCGCTGGCTCAGCCGCCATCCACCTCTGTGGTATTTATACTCCCTTCCTTCTTCTCGTCTTGCTTTCCCCACTCTGACCCCCGGCTGGATTCTACTCTCCCCAAACCCCTCGTCCCCGCTCCAGGATCCCATGTGGGCACCTACACAAACTCCTTTCATGAGCTGGGGGACCGGTGACCCTGGAGAAGCAGTTCCCAGTCGGGGATCCGCTCCTGGAGCCTTGCCATTGTCATCCTGACGGGACCAACCTGGGCAAGGACTGCCCACATTGAGGACTATCACAGTAACAAGAAACAGCCACATCCACATGACAAAAGGAAAGCCCCAGTAGCCCTCCTTAGCACCAACACACTGAGCAGGCATGTGAGGGAGTCAAAGGGGAGCATAGGGAAGGGCTCTGAAAAGACTCTGAGTGTTTGCCTTTGACTGCCTTGGGAAGGACACAGTCCTGTGCCACACTCTCCCGAGCCAGACAGCTGGCAGAAGCTTCCAGATAGCAAGTTCTCCGGGGAGTCATCCCTTGAGGAAACCCTTTGGGCTGGGATCCCACGGCTGAGATCAGATTCCCCAACGTCCGTGTGTGGAAAGGGTCCTTGGTGTTCACTGTTACTTTCACTGCAGTGATGTGGTCCTCGGCGTGAGGCTTTTGGCGTAGAGTGTTGAACACTGTTAAGTGGCTTTCAAATTAGCCAAACAAAACAGACTTTCTGCCCTTAGACTCAAAGAGACCAAATATTTCACAGTAACTCTCTGTGTTAGAAAAACTAAGGAGAGAGAGGAAGGAAAAACATTTTCTTCCACCGTTTTACCTTCAAGATTAACAAGCACTTCCCCTTTTGTCCTTTTGCTGGAAGAAACTTTTCAAGTGAAATGAGGGGCTCCAGGGTGAGGCTTGGACCTGTCAAGAGGGCTGCCTGGTGACTCGAGTGCCTGGTGGGTGTGAGACCGTGACAGCCTGCACCAGGCAGCAGAGCCAGGGCTTTGCACTTTGGAGAGCGAGCAATGAAGGGGATGACAAGAAAGAGCCACACTCCCTATTGACACTGAAACCATCACAAAAGGAAAACAAATGTCCCGAACTGTCATTTGCACCGAGAGTGGCAGAAGGTGCTGGGGACTCTGTGAGTCGTGTAGGGCATCTATAGGACTCCAGCGAATAACCTCATTTTCAAACACAGTTGCTGGACTTCACTTTGCCTCTGTCCAGCAGTCCTTCAATGTCAGTGGAAAAATGAAACTGTGTGAAATAGTTTCAAGAGGTTTATTTTCCTTCCGTGGGACTGACGGTGGCCCAGGGAAAACACAAACGCAAGAAGCGTTGAGTAAGTGGACTGGAGGTAGTTGGATTATTGTTTGCTTTTATACATTTTCAGCAGGCAGCAATTCCAGCCAAAGGCATGAATATTTGTATGAAACATGTACATTGCTTTCGCCCAAAAAGGAGAAATTCTTTCAAGGCAGGGACATATAAGTCACAGGCTGATTTAGAGATTCTTTACTTCGTAATTGGTAGAGGAATCAAGTCAGGTCTAGAAGTTGGCGTTAGAGGAGAAGAACGTGTAAGTGAAGATGATGAAGTCAGTTAACTGCACAGGAAGTTGTCAGACAGGGAACCAGCAGACACTGCTTAGCACGCAGCCAAAAGGGCCCTAACCACCCGGATGACAAACCAGGATTGGTGACAGAAAGTGCAGGTCGAAATACTTTAATGGCTTACATGGAATCAGGGCTTCATTATTTTTGTGATGTTCTCAGCATAGGCAAGACTGATTTTCTTCCTCTGTTGCAAAAGAGGGGCATCTGTCTCTTGGGCAATTTGGCTGACTCGCCTGCCTTCTTGCTTCTCTGAATAAAAAAAATCATATCTCAATCTTTGCCACAAGAAAAACATAGTATCAAAATATCAACCGTGCAGGTTACCCGTTGAACACTCTCTCAACTTCTTGGTTTTATGTTGGACTCCGGAGTGGCACATTGACTTTTTCTTTGTCTCCATGATAAGATTGTATGTCCTTCATGCTGACCTAAATAAGAAACACACAAGTCAATACAAGAAATCTAAAATATTTAAGAACTTAAGTCGTAGTATTCTCCTTTACCATTTTTTTGTGGTTTTTCTGAGCATTGCTCACTTCACCTCCTTGTGGGTATTATACACACACACACACACACACACACAACACACACACACATAACCTGGTAGTAGATTTTTGCTGAAGAAAAACGACTTCCTCAACCCGTCAACAATGCAGGTTTTTCGTGCAACTTCCCTCAGGTTTCTTCTTTTGAACATTTGAATCAAGAGACGCAGACTGACTGTTTTTCCTGTGTGTGAACAATTTATCTCCTTCTCACTGCCCTAGCAAGAAACACACACGTGAATACAGGAAATCTGAAAGATATAAGCAGTGAAGTCATGTTTTCTGCTTTACCATTTTTTCGTGGTTTCTTCGAGCATTGCTAACTTTGCCTCTCTGTGGCTGTTCTACATATACACACATAACCCGGCAAGTCGATTTTGGTGAAGAAAAACAACTTCCTCAACCCGTACACAAGGCAGCTTTTTCGTGCAACCTTCCCTCAGCTTTCTTCTCTTGAACGTTTGAATCAAGAGAGGCAGACTGACTGTTTTTCTTCTTCTCTGTGAAAATAATGTATATCCTTCTTGCTGCCCTGAACAAGAAACACACAAGTCACCACAGGAAATCTAAAAGGTTTAAGCAGTTAAATCATGTTTTTCTGCTTTAGTCTTTTTCACGGTTTCATCTGAGCATGGTGAGTTCACAGCTTTGTTGTTGTGTATATATATATATATATGAAAATAAAACTGCAATTGCATCTTTGGTGAGGAAAAACAAATTACTCAACACATCAACAATTCACTTTGCCCGTTTAACCTTGTCTTGGCTCTGTTGTTTTGAGCTTTCGTCTCAGGAGAGGCAGACTGACATCATGTTTGTGTGTGTGTGTGTTTGCACTTGAAAAAGACAGTATCTCCTTCTTGCTGCCCAAAACAAGAAACATGCAACAATTCAACACAGGAGATAGAAATGGTAAATACTGTTTTTCTACGTTTCCATTACTTTGGTGGTTTCCTCAGATGCTCAGCTGAATTCTGGACTTTGTTGCTTTTGTCAAATAACAACATATTTCGCTGTTTTTTGTGGGAAAGACGAAGCACTCAAAACACCAACGATGTGGGTGTCAACTTCACCAGTGCAATTCCAGGTGCTTCCACCTCATAGGAGCCGAATTCTGAACGATTTGAGACTTTCAGTCCAGCGTTCAGTGGAGACATGGGAGGAGCCTGCTGGCTGAGCCTGTAGGGCTTGATGCCTTGGTGGAAGCTAATTGGTGGAGCAGTGGACTGCAGAAGCTGATTGGTTGAGCTGTTGGTGACTTGAGAGAAGCTGATTGGCTGAGCTGGTGATGACTTCGCAGAAGTTGATTGGCTGAGCTGGTGATGACTTGGCAAAAGCTGATTGGCTTAGCCCCAGGGAACTTCAGGGTGTGTGGGTGGGGTCAGGGGACGGCACTCCTGAAACTTGTATAAAAGGATGCCTCTGCCTGTGTGAAGACCCTCCAGGCTACTGCAGCTAGGAGGCGCGCTCAGCATGTTGTGCAAGGATTCCTTGATTTTGCTCTTGAAAGAGAAAGCCATGGAACTGATGATGGATGCTGTGGCTTCATGTGTCCTGTATTGAGAAGCATGTATCTAGGAGAGGAATTCATGACATGTCCTGGAAACGGGCAGAACTCTTCCCTCAAGGAGATGTTTACATTTCTTTTGTTGAAGAAGATAGTTCTGTGGTGCCTGAAGAAAGGCTTGCCAGTTGTACATGACCTGATTTTTCGATCTTTGAGAAATGACATGCCTATTCTACGGGGCTCTAATGATGATGACGACATTATCGTACTGGTGGAACAATAGACACAGAGGTTAGTGAGACAGAATAGCGAACCCAGAAATACAGCCTCACATCTACAGCCAACTGATCTTGGACAAAGTCAGCAAAAATGTACTCTGGGCAAAAAGAGCCTTTTCAGCAAAGGACGCTGGGTACATTCGATTTCCACGTGCAGAAGAATCAAACCTGACTCCTGTTTATGACCGTATAAAAAAATCAGGCCGGGCGTGGTGGCTCACGCCTGTCATCCTAGCACTTTGGGAGGCCAAGGTGGGAGGATGGCTTGAGGTATGGACACAGAGTGTGGAATGACGGACATTGGAGACTTGGAAGGGTGGGGAGCCTGGGGGGTGAAAGAAGAGAAATGACGTAATGGGTACAATGCATGTCATTCAGATGATGGATTCACCAAAAGCCTTGATGCCACCGATACCCAACATAGCCATGTGACAAACTACACCTGTTCCTCATAAATCAATAAGCAACAAAAACTGTATGCATGTCATATACTTTTCCAAAGAAGATGTTTCAGAAACCAAAGATGTGATTGTGGTTTAAGGACTCATGGGAGATCAAGTGTGGTCAAATGACAATGGTGGTGGATGATGGGTGACGGTGATTTTTCTGGCATAATATCATCCAGTGGCTGGAAAATGTGTCCCATGCTCTTGCATTTCCTCCTGTTTGGCCAATTGTGACTGCCGTTCTGAGAAGGCTGACTAGCGTGTGAGCAAATAAACAGAATGATTACAAAATGCATCGTAGCCCTATGGTCTGGTTCTGTGGTGGCTTCCATGTATTTCCTCTTGGCTTCAGCTTCTGAGACCGGGACCCAGAGGAGGAGAAAGGTCTCAGAGTGGGAAGAGCTCGAGCATGGGATGGAAGAGGTGTCCATGGGGGCCTAGATGCTGAGGGGCTGCAGTCCACGAGGGGTTGACTCAAAGGAAGAGAGGCCTGCCAAAGGCTGAAATTCTGAACTGAGGAGCCCCCGGGGATGGCGGAACCTCCTGCCTGAGAAGGGAAGCTGGACCTGGAAGCGATGCTCACCTTTGAGTTTGGAAGACACCTTTCCTTACTTGAGGTGGAGGAAGCTATCCCAAACAGGAGCAGGGCATTCTGGCCCCTGGAGGATGCAGGTGGGGTAAGCAAGCCGGGAGGAAGTGGTGTTGGGCGGTGGGGATGAAACCCAAAGGGGAGGCCCAGAGAAAACCCAGTGATCACCAAGAGGGGAGGCAGCAGAGTGTGCCAGTGCATTCACAGTTCCCTCCTGGTGTGTGGGACTTACAGGCCTTTGGAGGATCATCTGGAGACGTGCAGCCTACAAAGCTGTGGTTCTGTAGCCTCACCAAGCAAAGCCCAACGTGCAAATACCAGCAAAAACAAAAAAACCAAAAAAACCCACCTTGGTCACCTTTATTTTATTTTATTTTATTTTATTTTTTTGAGACAGAGTCTCGCTTTGTTGTCCAGGCTAGAGTGAGTGCCGTGGCGTCAGCCTAGCTCACAGCAACCTCAACCTCCTGGGCTCCAGTGATCCTTCTGCCTCAGCCTCCCGAGTAGCTGGGACTACAGGCATGCGCCACTATGCCTGGCTAATTTTTTATATATATATCAGTTGGCCAATTAATTTCTTTCTATTTATAGTAGAGACGGGGTCTCGCTCTTGCTCAGGCTGGTTTCGAACTCCTGACCTTGAGCAATCCGCCCGCCTCGGCCTCCCAAGAGCTAGGATTACAGGCGTGAGCCACAGCGCCCGGCCGGTCACCTTTATTTTAAAAGACAGGTATTTAGTCATGTTGCTTTTCTTCACCTCGTTGGTGTTTTTCACTGAAGACTGTTCACAAGTGAGCGTTTCTACCAGACTTTATTAACCAAGGCATGAAACTCACAAGTTCACCTTGGTTATACTTGGAGTTTACAAAGAAATAAACAATTTAAGAGTTAACATTAGAAGTAATATGATTGAAGGAAACTTTAGCTCTCTCAAAAGTGAGAAGACTTACTTTCTTAAATAATTGTGGACATGTGAAAGTCTTCATAAAGTAGAGGGAAAGATTCTTAAATGAAACAGAACTTTTGGGCAAAGACACGCATCTGTGTCTATTTTAAGTTCTCAACAGGGAGCCTTTGGGAGACTGCTTTCTAGGATGGAGCACACACTATGTGTAGGCTTATCATGGTTGCAGGGACCCAGAAGGTAATGAAACAGTCAATGGCTTCATGGAGTTGATGTTCTAGTAAGGAGGGAGAGGCATTCACGGAGTAAACAAGTGATATTTCAGAAGGAGATACACCCTCCCTAGGAAAATAAAGCAAGGTGAAGGAGAGAGGGAATGGATAGACCGGGGGGTGGGGCCTTCTAATTTATATCAGGTGGTCAGGGAAATCATCCATAATGAGATGATATTTAAGCAGAGACCCGAAGAAGGCAGTGTCTTAGTTTGGTTTCCGTTACTATAATGGAACACCGCAGACTGGGCAATTTAAAAGAAAAGATATTTATTTTTCACAGGACCTAGAGGCTGGGGAGTCCAGGAGCATGGCATCTACCCGGGAGCTCCTTGCTGCAGGATCACATGGTGAAAGGTAATGGAGCACATGACACGGAGAGCTGGCTTTGTAACAGCCACTCCAGGATATTCCTGTGATGGTGACACGGCTCCATTCATGATCACAGAGTCCTTATACATCCAGTAACCCATTTATGAGGGAAGAGCTGACATTTATCCATTCATGAGGGCAAAGGAGTTAAGTTTACAACACATGAACGTCTGTGGGACACAGAAAACCAGAGCAGAGTGGGAGAGAATCAGGTAGGTCTCCGGAGTAAGATTGTTTCAGGATGGGAATAACTGTGCAAAGGCCCATGGTCACGAAGCCACTGTGGCCAGAACAGATGGGATGAGTAGGGTGAGAGAAGAAGCACGGGTAGGGTCCAGACTGTGTAGGGCAGCACCAGCTAAAGGGTGACCTACACAGAGCTGGGGAGGTTGGCCAGAATGCAAATCGACCACATCACTCTGCTTTTTTTTTGTTTAATTTTTCAGGTGACATTTTTTTCCCATTGCAAGACTCTCTCCCTGGAAGCAGTGAGTTGACTGGCCTTCTGGTACAAG